TAAACCCTAAACCCTAAACCCAAAAACCAAAACCCAAAACCCAAAACCCTTAAACCCTAAACCCTACACCCTAAACCCTGAACCCTAAACCCTAAACCCTAAACCCTAAACCCTGCCAAGGATTACAAATTAAAACTGAGGATTGACATCTTGCAAGCCAGGCACCAATCTCGCACTTGGTCCAGCTGCACGGCAACCCGCTCCCGCTCGTACGGGCGGTCAGCATTGTTCAGGAACCCTTGTACAACCTGCAGCAAGTCACCCGGCGTCTCGGCCTGCCTGGCGTGCTTGGCCAACCACGTGGCAACCAGACCAAAGCATTGGTCCACGTCCTCATGGGAGTGTCCGCTGCGCAAATTACGCAGCGAACACTCCCGAATGATACCTCAGAGTGAAATCAGAATCAAAGCCGAAAATAATGCAAAGAAGAAGTCCACCGTGAGCAATGGAAATATGCAGCAAGCAGGACTGAGTACAAGTGTGGCTCCATGGGACACCAGGCTCCCCATCCATTTCGCAAATGGATTATTTTTCATTTCCCTGACTGTGTTGTCAGACTGTATGTTGACAGATAGGTGTTTCAAAAGACAATGCTTGGAGAGCATGGTCAGAGAATAGCTCATCATCTCAATCATCGAAGAGCTGTTTTTTGCTTGGTCATGTTCCGAAAGGAAAAGAAAGATGCTGAAGCCGTGGATGATGACTGCGGTGAGGTGCATCTTGGGACGCTGCATGTTGGAGAGCTCCTGCCACTGTCACTGTGAAAGAAACACAATGGGAACTGAGTTGCGTGTCACTGCTTTCTGTCTCGGATACCGACAAACTTGCTCCGACCCACGTGCCTTCGATTTCATGCAGGCCCCTCTAGGAAGACATGTCTTGCTCTGGTCCATAGAGTCGATGATTGCGGTGACTGAAGCGCCACCGCGAAGGCGGCTTTCACCGCGAAGTGACCAATACGTCATGCGGTCCAAGTACTGGTCACGCAAGTGACCGTGATATCGTTTGACCTGCTCCTTCCGCGCCAATAAATGGCTGGACAACTCTCTAATCAGGAGTTTGTGACGCAGACAAGTGCTGCACACTGCGTGATTGGAATGTGATCGAAATTTCATGAAAGCGAATTCCTGATACCACACCTTGGCTCAAACACTGAAACAAGTTGGCAGAACAAAGTGGCAAGTGCGGCTGCGGCAAGTCTATATTGGACAACACACCACAGCCAAGTCGAAGTCAGGGCGCCCTCCAAAAGAAGGCAAAACTGATGGGCTTCTGGGACTCACGCTGGCAGTTGAGCTGTTCCCAGTATTCCTTCATGGAACCTGGAGGCAAGTAGCGTACTTCTCCATCCTTCCCCAGAATTGTGACGGACCTCTTTCTTTGATTGGTTTTTTTCTTGCTGTCCTTGAAGGCACTGACTTGCTGCAACTTGGCCAAACTTACAGCATAATCATCCTGGTCACAAGTCGCAACATCTTTCAGAAGTTCGACCGACGCATCTTCGTCCGGCTCACAGGTACCATCTTTCACATCAGGCAGTGTTTCTGCCGTCGAATCATACACGCTTTGCAAATAGGACAGGATTTCCCCACGAACGTTCCGAGATGTGACCTGTGAGGGTCGCTGGAGGTAGCGTATGTCAGCTGGAGGGCCAGTCTTCCCTGCACGTGCAGCTTTGCTCAGCCTCGCAAACCTGCTGCAACCTCAGAGTAGTAGTCATGTCTGACACCAGTCAAATTAAAATGAAGCTTGAATCCGAGGTGCCCAGCGAGTGCAATGCTTGATAAGCGCGGAGACACACGGGCTCACCAAGGAACTTCCATTGCATGCGGTCCTCTCCGGCAGCCTTCGATTCCGTCATCATCCGGACCATCGATTGGAATGCCTGGAATGTGCACAGAAGACTACACTCAGGAGCAGAATCAGAATCACGGCCCGATCGCATCCAGAAGCAAAATACATGAAGCTCATAGAAAAACCATGATTCAGACTAGCCACCACATTGTCCTGGTCAAGCTTATGGAGACGTTGCCACTCAGTGCGGAAAGCTATGACCGCATCTCGTCTCGCCGGAGAACAAAACTTGGCAAGGCACATCCTTTTGCATGTGGTGCCACATCTTCTTCTCAGGAGGCTATCGACCACAGATTTCACACTGCGCTCGCTGGACCGAGCACGCTTCTTGCCACGGCCTCTTGGCTGGGCCTTGGACTGCCGATCCTTGATGCGGCCATCGTGGGCAAGGTTCAACAAAAAAACAAATCACGAAAGCTTTTAAAGCTCTGCTTCCACCATGATGTGACGCGAACTTGACGTGTCTAAGGCTTCGAATGTAACAAGGATGCAAAGGACCTCTTTTTCATTTAATTTCAAGTTGAACAAACAACGAAGGAGTAACAATTCTTATGGTAACACCAGGTGCTATCAAAGCTGCTGTTTCTGGATCTTCTTCATCAGTTAACTCGTTCACTGGGGGCAGAGGCATCCATGTAGCCGTCGCGCGAAACTTGTGAATTCTGCTGCTGCTACAGGCATTTTGAGGCACTCAGTAACAGCTCGTAACAGCAATAATTAATGGCCAGCAAGCCAAAAAGACTGGCATGAAACGGACCATTTCGCACTGGAAACTGCCGATTCCTGGTCGAAAATAGAAGCAAATCAAAACTGTCTCTGCGACGGCCTCAAGGCTTCGACCGAAGCATGTCATAGAAAAGAGACATGGCAGCATTAGCCTGCCTGGGAACTACCACGTTCCCCAGCATGTGTATGCGTCTGGCATCCTCAACTGTCCTGGCTTCAGACAACCAGCTCTGCATTGACAAAGCTGCAGCAGGATTCCAATCTGCCGTCGTGAAGTGCTTCGCGGGCAGCACGGCCTGGAGCGCACGCAAGAATTTGTGCGAGAAGCCGCAAAGTCAAGCAACAAGAAGCCTCAGGAAAACCAGAGATGTCCGGACTCGCTGCCAGCAAGAAGACGCGGCGCCTGCCAGCCTCAGAGAGCAGAGTCTTCACATTGCAGCCTTCCAAAGCTCAGAGCAATGATTAATGATTGATGGCAAACTTAAACAGGGAGTAGGTCCCGAGCAGGGAGCCCACATTGGGCCAGGGTCAGGCTGCACCAATGCAGGTCAAGATTGCGCTTGGAAGCGGCCTGTGGCTAGGAGCAAAACCTAAGACATTCAGATAATAGTTTATTATGATGATGATTATTATTCACATTCTGACAGGCGAACCTCAATCATTATTATCCAGCCTGTTGAATGTACAGGAACACGTCTCTGCAGTTCTTCTGATTGTGCAGCAGAGCACCGACATTCTCAATGAGCATGAGTCTCCTGCAAGCAGATTGAAATTATTTGGCTTTGGGCAGATTACAACAAACAACAGCATTGGAACGCCGCAGTCTAACATGATCTCACAATTCCGAGCTGCGCTTGGGGCAGCTTGTCGAAGCACGTGAATGCCATTCGAATCAAAGAGGATCGTTCATCGCGCATACCCTTCTGAGCTCCGGCTGCAGAAATCCCCTGATGACAGGAGAATCAAGAATTCATCGCCCTTGGACTACACAGTGCTGACAGCTCATCGACAGTTAGTTTCCAAAACAAGATGCACGTGGCAGCAGGCCTGACAAGGGAAACCAGCAAGTACTGCTTCCGCTTCCAGTGCCATCATTGAAGGCTGGTACGTCTCAATGTCGGGATGGATAGGGCACTGAGGGAGGTTGCCTTCTTCCATCCGCGCACGGAGCACCTTTTGGCAGTCAACGTCCCTCTCGACCTGAGGGAAAAAGATTCCAGCCGTTCGATACTCACTCAGTGGCCAATGCCAAGCACCCTGCCATCTCCACAGAGTGGAACCACCTTAAGGCACAGAAATATTTTTTTAAGGCTACTTGTCATTGTCCGCTGTGCACACAGCAGCCCAAATGAAGGTGCAGTGTCACTAAACTTGTTTGTCACCTTTGCCTCTTCGTGTCGCACGCAACATCTGAATCTGCGCGCTCAGGAGTCCTCTTCTTGCTCTCGTCGGCGTTTGCAGCCACCTTTACCATGTAAACGTTGATCAAACCGCGCGAGTACTATGCACATGTGCCAGGATGAAAACACAGAAGAATGCATGAAGGTTTGAATTTGTCAGGCCTTGCCATCATCACTGAGTTTGATGGACTCCTCTGATGTCTTCGCCCAAGCCCTGTCCTTGAAATCCCAGAGCCACCTTGGGAAAAGGACAGTGCAGGAACCCGAGACGCAGGCACCGCACAATGCAAGTCATCTCGTTGCACATGGCAAGCCACACGCTGCCCTTCCACCGGCACCATACAACCGTGCCCGGAGCAACCCTGGCACAGAGTAGTCTTTTGTTTTGCTACAAGGCCAAATCAAAGTTCAAGCTGAATTGCCATCGACGTTAAAAACTGAGTTCTGGACTTCACCTGATTGACACCAACGGTTGTCACTGTACGAAACTTCTGTCCATGCATGCCGCAGGATGACCATCAGAATGCCGTGAAGAGGCGGAGGGAGGTCTGTTGGGTTCCAGCCAGAGTGCTACACAGCAGCAAAGTAAAGTTGAAAGTTGACATGCAAAGATGTTGCCACACCAAAAACTCTGCACGATAATGAGCAAAACATGACACAGAAATGGGCCCCCCACGGAGACAGACCCACTTCCAGGCCGCCGATGCCCGTGAAGAGCGAGACACACTTCACGCGGTGATTCTTCTGAAGTTCAGGTGGAATTCAATATCAGACTCATGTGTGTACTACGATTCAGAAAGCCTCAAAGAGCTGTGGCCACATGTCTCGCACGATGCCACTTTTCACAGCACCGGCTTCTGACGAGGTCCAGTTGCGGGGCAGTCCTGCAAGGCAAACAGCAGGACAGGAGCACTAGTCAGAAGCAGCGACACGATTGTTGCAACACGCCCGGCCTGAAAACCATTCTGCTGCTTGGACCGTTAGGAAGGCATTGGGCAAGCACGAGCCCCCGGCCTTTCGAAATTCCGTCGAATAGGCAATCATATTCGCTAGGTCCTGGGTCCATGGAGCATCAGTCATCTCGGTTATTATTGATTGAAACGTGTGCTGGGGACTGCACCCGCACACCGCGCTCGCTAACACCGGAACGAGTCACCCTCGTAGTGGAACTGAAGCAACCTGAAGGCACTCAAGGCAACCATGTGATGCAACACGCTAAACAAGGCTGTCACTTTAAATCTCATGAGCATTTCATTTCTGGGTCTCCTGCGGATGCTGCTCCATTTCTTGAAAATACGGGTACCGGAGAACAGGACGGTGCCATCCTCCTTCTGTTTCGCTCTTTGGTTGATAACCTGAAGCAGCAGCAGGAGTTCATGTTGCGCATGCCTCGAAGCCGGAACGATTCTACTTGCATGTTAAAGATTTTAATTTTGCCGACACATGCATCTCGGATCTTCGCAAGTGCAATTCAGAAGTTGCAGCTGCAGCTGCGTGATCTGCTCGAGCCCCTCTTGTGACAAGCTTTGTGAGATTGGCCATGTCGCTGGGGAATACTCACATCAGGTTCAAGCTGTTCAAATACCAGGACTTCGGCTACCTGAACCGACGTTCGGAGTACAGTACATGATATTGTACGAGGATGCCCGTTTCGAGCGACGTGGCACCGTCTGGTTCAGGCGATTCACGAGAGGCGGACACAGAGCCATTGCGCAGCAAGGGACTTGGTCCTGGCATTCAATAATAGCAGCCTCAATCAATTTGAGACTCAGACCACGTGCAGGTTCAAGGGCCCCACAGATGGCAACGTCACCTGCCAGCCAAGTTCAACACCAGCTACCAGTTGGAAACTGCAATGATAATGGCCTTCATTGCTGTACAGACTCCGCCCTTGTCCACCCAGCCGCACAAAGGCAACTTCATCGCCTGGCACATTCGAGTAAAAACTGCTGCTAAATATTTAAACGTACCTGGCCAGGCCTTTTTCTGGTTCCTCTTCAAAACGCCCAACTTCTTGACCTTGATCTTCTTCCGGGCCTGTACACACCAAAAAAGGAGGGGACGGGTGAGAAACACCAGACATTCCCCAGGATATTATAGTAAATGAATGCGAATGTGAAGCGCAAACGTGCAAACCCAGGACGTGTGTGTGACATGTTCCGGAGCAGCAGAAAAGTAAAAAGGCAACATGTGCATCATCATTTTGCGGACCTCGGTAGACCTAAAGTGGCAGCACAATGCTGAGACAGAGGCGTTGCCTCGGTCAGAGGAATATTAAAAGAAACTCAGCGAGACTCAGAGGAGCTCGAGCGCCGCCTTTCGTGAGATCAAGACAGCTAACCTCAGCCCACAAATCCGAAATTGTGTCCTCCAATGCCAAGCGCACTGCATCTGTCTTGGAGTAGACGCAAGGCATCTTGCGAACATCATACCCCTTCAGAGAACGCCAAGCAGAGGCACGACGGCCAGCAGCAGGGAAGCTGGGCTTAACGTGGCCAGTGAAAGCAAGCTCGAAGATGTGTAAAGAAGTTCTCCGCCACACGGAGGCGTGCATCCTGCTGCTGCAGGCCCTTTTCCAGCAAGTGAAGGCGCTCCCCCTGAACCTTTAAGTCATGCTGCAATCGACCAACCCAGCCCTCCAAAGAGGCAATGCTATTACCTCCGCTGGAGCCGTTGCTTGACATTGAACTGGCAGCAGATTGGGCCGCCTCGGGGCCAGTTTCCATCCGATCCCCTAGCAGACGGGATCTCAGAACCTGTTGAAGAAAACTAAAAGTTTCTTCACTGCGCGCAGCTTGGACAAAACTTGAGCCCAATGGTCCAAAGAGTAGCCGTAGTTTAAAGCAGC